CTCTGCTGTGCTTTGTCTTGAACCGCAAAGAAATATTTTGTGCAAAAAAAATTTTTCCATCCGAGGTGGGAGGGTGAGTCAAAGCAAAGCAGTTCTTGAACAAAAGGGTTGAGATAATATGAGAAAGTTTGCAAGTGGAAATTCCATTAGACCCTCTGATCCGCTTATGAAACTATGTCAAGATTAGACCCCAGCAACAACTATGCAAGTTCCAGGTCTGGCCTGTCTTAACTGTTGCAAGGCTGTTATATGCCAGAGCTTGGAAAAATATGCACAAACCAACTATAGAATTGTAGAATCACAGAACTGTAGCGCTGGAAGAGACCACGAGGCTCATGCAGAATATATTGTTAGAAATATTTGAAAACAGGGATATAGATAAATGTAAACAGTGCATGTGAAAAGAGTATTAAAGATATCAGAAGATGGTGTGGATTATTTACTTTCACAAGCCCCAGTCTCGTAAACAACTGGGAGAATATGTGTTTGATTGTGCCATATTAAAACGGTTTTATGTTTGTATTATGAAATGGCTTGTGTATTTAATATTGTGTATTTAATAACATGCACACACAAATTCAGTATTAGGAATGTAAAAGTGAGACCTGCCACAGAATGTAGCAGTACATCCTCACCAGAGGCATTGAGTTGTGCCCCAGATTTGGGGGGGCAGTGTCACACGCGTGACATCACATGTGTGCTGTGTGTGTGATGTCACGTGTACGATGTTGGGCTCAGTTTCAGTGCATGATGTTGGCAGTTTCAGTGCCAAAAGCAGGCCTAAACCCCAATTGAAATGGATCTAGGATATCTGCTGTTCTATGATAATGGATCTAGGATACCTGCTATTGAGAGTACGTCTGAGCTGTCAAACAAAACATGGAATGGGCTCTAGTTTACAGGCAGCTGAGCAAAGGAAAATTCATACAGCTAGGTCCCACTGGCAAACAAGCCTTAGAATACTCAGAACCCTTTTACCCGAGGAGCTCATCACAACCAGAAGCCTTTCTCAAAGAGTCAAGTCTGTGATGTACATTCCTTGCAGTTGTGTGATTCATGTCCTGTGGGTTTGCAGTAATGATTTCAGCTATGGCCGAAGCAATGCTGGGATAAAATATTCCTCAACAAATGGTCCTGTTTTGTTACATGGGTTTAGAATATACGCATACCTTTTGATCCCTGTTTGGCCTTCCCAGTTAGAAACACAATTGGATCGTCCAGCCGTTTCACTCTGAAACCTATCTAATCTTATAGAGATGGAACAGATCATAGCATCATACAGAACTTAATGAGCAACTTGGAGTCCGTACTGGCCTTAAGCAGAATTAACACTGTGCTTCCTAACCTGTTTGGAGGATCTTTCCCCCCTCCTAAGCCTTGTGTCCATTTCATCAGGCAGCAACTGCTAAGACGCTCCTCTTTCTAGGGAAGAAGACCCATGGGTCAATGGCAGAAGGTCCCACTTGCAATCCCTAGAGAGCTGTTGCTTGTCAGTGTAGACAATACTGAGCTACTGTAGATAGACCATTGAACTAACACAGTATAAGGCTGCTTCTTATTGTTTCTGTCTGTGGTTCCTTCAGAGTGATTTCTGCCTGAAGGTGGAAGGTCCTCTTGAATGGTCCCCGTCTGTAGGATTTTATTTCCTTGCCAAACCACAAAAAGCAAGAACTCCTGGAGTCTGGTCCACACTACACACAGTTGGAGGGTTAGCACAGATTGGACCCAGGCTACCTGAAAGATTGTATCTCCATATACAAACCTACCTTCTCTTGATCCCATCAACATCAGAAGCATGGTGGTGACATGAGAGAGAATCTTTTCTGTGGCTGCTCCCAAATTGCAGAATTTCCTCCCATGGGAGCTGAGATGGTCTCCCTCTTATCCTTCTGTCGGCAGGCTAAGATCTTCTGTTATGTACTGAGTTCCTTTCAGCCGGGTCCTTGTTGTTCACTGGACTGCTGCTATATTTTAATGGCTGGTTCTAAATGTGTTTTGATGTATTTTAACTATTGCTTTTAACTTGTTTATTTTCACTGCTTTGTATGTTCTTAAATGTTGGAAGCTGCCGTGACCCCCAGCTCAGGAGAAAGGCAAGATATGTTGTTGTTTAGTGGTTTAGTTGTGTCTGACTCTTCATGCCCCCATGGACCAGGAGCACGCCAGGCACTCCTGCCTTCCACTGCCTCCCGCAGTTTAGTCAAACTCATGCTGGTAGCTTCGACAACACTGTCCAACCATCTCATCCTCTGTTGTCCTCTTCTCCTTGTGCCCTCAATTTTTCCCAACATCAGGGTCTTTTCCAGGGAGTCTTCTCTTCTCATGAGGTGGCCAAAGTATTGGAGCCTCAGCTTCATGATCTGTCCTTCCAGTGAGCACTCAGGGCTGATTTCCTTAAGAATGGATGGGTTTGATATACATACATTAAATAAGTAATAAATAAATGGTTTGATGCAGCTAGACAAGAGATGCAGATCCACCCACTGGCAGAGGAATGGGGGGGCAGTGGGACCATACTGCCCCCGGCACCATAGGGGAGGGGGGTACCATAGCGCCACACCCCCCGGATGCACGCCAGCCACGCCCCTAACTGCTATCCACCCCTGGTGCCAGAGCATGCAGCTTTGCCATTGACCCTACCCCAAAATCAAAAGAAGCACACACTCCCTTCTGTGGCACCAGTTAAACACCACAATGCAAATGGCCATCGCCATCATCCATGGCCCCAAACCTGGCAGAGTTCTTGAACAGAAAAATGCCGTGCTCCTGTCACTCTATCCTATCTCAGTGTTGAAGAAGTGACTCATGCGACTGGTCATTTCCTGAAATAGGATGGAGTAGATGTCCACCTACCCCACTAATGTGTTCACCTGCTTGACTACTAACAGACTGCAAATCTGGGTGCCCTTTCACCACCTCTAGGGTTGCCTTATCTTCTCCTTTTCCACTGATATGTAAAAGTTGGCAAATGTGTCCTCTTTTTTGATCTTCAAAACATGGCAGCCCTAACCTCCACCATCACCCCTGCCTGTCGTTTTACTCTTTCAAAACCATTCAGGCAATTCCTAGTTTGCGTAAAGTGAGCAAAATTAATCAGAATTCATAATGGGAGTGGGAGCTCTTCTAAACATGGCTTGCACATCCTGCAAACCTACTGAGCCACAGTGCACTCTGAAACCTGTTCCGATGTTAGAGACACAAATAAGAGTTGCCCAATAAACCCTTGGTGCTTGGGGAAGGAGGAGGCGTCACTGGCCTCGAAGGAGCATGTGCACCATGATTAGCACTTCATCTTGATTGACAGGGGCAGATTGATTGACAGAGAAGTTTTCACTATAAATGCTAGCACAGCTTCTCCATCATGACCATTCCTGAGCAACATTCAGCGGGCGCTTTCTTTTCCAGCATTTCGCAAACATCAGCAGTGAATAATGAAAGGTTGTCATGTCACCAGAGCATTTTAAATCTGCCCTGCCATGGAACTGGTAGAGTTCAATCAGTGAATCACCCAGGTCTAGTTGGTGACTAGGAGCAATGATGGCAAACGCCTTCTCTCTCTCTCTCTCTCTCTGTAGGCTGAAGGGAGGCAATGTGGATTTGGAGGCAATGTGGACACGGGTGGCACTGTGGGTTAAACCACAGGGCCAAGGACTTGCCGATCAGAAGGTCAGTGGTTCGAATCCCCGCGACGGGGTGAGCTCCCGTTGCTCAGTCCCTGCTCCTGCCAACCTAGCAGTTCGAAAGCACGTCAAAGTGCAAGTAGATAAATAGGTACCGCTCTGGCGGGAAGGTAGACAGCGGTTCCGTGCGCTGCTCTGGTTCGCCAGAAGCAGCTTAGTCATGCTGGCCACATGACCCAGAAGCTGTACGCCGGCTCCCTCGGCCAATAGAGCGAGATGAGCACCGCAACCCCAGAGTCGGTCACAACTGGACCTAATGGTCAGGGGTCCCTTTACCTTTACCTTTAGCCAGAGTTCCTAGCACGAGGGGGCTGTTTCTGATGGAGCCAAAACACAGGAAAGACTTGATTCAACCAATGAATTCTCAACATCATCTTGAATTATTGCACGGCGTAACCAAAACAAACCTTGCTCCTTCTCCCCTATCCGTGCCTCAAATTGCTGACTCATTCCCAGACTAGGTGTTTGCAAGATCCCAGAACGTCCTGCTTCTGCCTCCCTCCGAGACTCCTGCCTCAAATATGGTGCTGACTCACTACTTTTGCTGGCAGGATGCTACAATTGCCATTCATCGCCCACCTTGCCTCACAAACTGCTGACTCACACCCAAGAACTTTGCCTGTGGGGTCCTATAATTCTCGCTCCTGCCCTGAAATATTAATAAGGACTAAGCTTTGTGACTGCTCTGTGGGAGGAGCAATGCTGGTGGAAGCTGTGCAGCTACCCCCAATGCCATCTGCACTGATGCAGTACTTTTTGCATGCCAGCGTATAAAAGACCCAAATAATTTCATGAAAATGTGAAAACAGTGGCAACCAGCTTTGACTCTCTCCTCAGCCAAGACATTTGGCTTTAAGCCTAATTCTGGAAAGTTGTTTATTTATTCCCCACCCTTTCCTCCAAGGAGCTGAAGGTGCTGCACATAGTTCTCCCTCTCCTCATTCATAAACATTTGGACCAGGAAATGGCAAGTATATCTGTCATGAAAATATAATTTGCTGCCTTTTTCTCATTAGGGGCATATATTCCCACAATCACTGATTTAACTCCAGCTACTGTAATTTGTATGGCCAACAGCTTTCCTTCTTCATACTTTAAGATTAGCTTAAGGCTCAAATAACGGTTTAATATAAAACACCACCCCTCTTTTCCCCCCTTTCTTTTTTAATGAGAGGATACAATCTCCTGTCCCAAGGCTTTATTTACCAAATACTTTCTGGCAATTTTTCTAATATGTGTCTCCTGTATGCATATCACATCTAGTTTCTGCTTTTGGCTGATGATCATCTCGCCTAACACCCTGCAATGCAGGAATCTTTTTGCCCAACATGGGGCTCAAACCCATGACCCTGAAATTAAGAGTGCCGTGCTTTACCAAGTGAGCAATATAGCCTGTGAAGCGATTGCTAAGTCACTCTGACCATTGTCGTTTTTTGGGAGGATACAATAATTAAGTAATTTCGTTGTCCCCGAAGGGGGCAATGACAATAAAGATATTATTATTATTATTATTATTATTATTATTATTATTTATTGTCATTGTCCCATACAGAACAACGAAATTGAAAAAATCTACATCAGACATTCAAAAACCAACAAGCCTGCTATCCCAGCTATCCCAGCCTGGTTAGCCCCCTAAAAACTCTGATACCCCATAATTAAATACAATATACTGCGTTTAAAACCCAAAATTGCATTTGGATAGAAACTGTTTCCCAGGCGGCTAGTCCTAGTGTTTATAACCCCGTACCTTCTTCCAGAAGGCAGAAGCTGAAAGAGATCATTTCCGGGGTGTGCACTATCCTGCGCTATCTCTGCAGCTTTCTTATGGCACCTGGAAGCATAGATTTGATCCAAGGTGGGAAGAGTGCACCCAATTATTCTCTCTGCAGTCTTTACAACCCTGGACAGCATTGTTTTTCCCTGACCGTGCAGCTCCCAAACCACACACACAGACCATAAGTTAATACACTCTCAACAGTACAATGGTAGAATGCCATAAACAGGTCCTTTGAGAGATTATTTTGCCGGAGGATTCTAAGAAAATATAACCTCTGCTGTGCTCTCTTCATCAGGTCTTTACTGTTTTCTCCCCAGGTTAAGTCATCTCTCAACTCCATTCCCTCCATTCAACTCCAATTGTTAGGAATGGGGTATCCTAACAATTCTCAGCACCCTGAACAAACTCCACTTCCAGGAGGGAAGCTATGGCTGTTTAAAGTGGTATCATAGTGATATAAAAGTGATTGTGGCCTCAGAGTGTGAGAGCCAGGGAACATGCTGCAGCCAGGAATAACTTGTTGCTTAGGTGAGGTCCCAAACCAAACAGGAAGCCTTTTGAGATCCCTTCCTGTACAGGAGAGCCCAATGGCTGACCTGAGTGGCCAGTGACAAACCAGACCCAGATAGCACCTTTCTGCCAAGGTGTCGCAAGCTGCAAATCTCACAGCTCACTGCGTGGAGTATGGAGAGATTGATGTTTTCATGTTCTAACTCTGACAGCACTTGATGCAAGAACCCAGCCTCACCCCGCTTTGCTGTTATAGTTTGAGCCGTGTTGCTTTCTTTCATTCTCTACTGGAAATCACTGTTCTCAATCATGGTTAAAGACTAGCCCAATCTCATCCCCCTTTGCAGAAAGGGAATTTCATCCTCTGATGTTCATTGCTATGTTGCGTCGCCACAAACTGTGTAAGTCATTGGGGAGGGGGGGTGTTTTTTCTGATCCATTGCCCAAATGTGTGTAACAAAATAATTAATCTGTAGGTGAATGACATGACAGGCAAAATCTGCTGGTTGAGCTCATTGGGATAATTTATAGACCACGCTGAATCATGCCAATGTGTATTTTTAGACTTGTGACACAATTATCATAGTACTTCATCGTCTGAGTTGTTGCCATTTTTCATAATCATGCACACCAAGAAGCGTTAGTTCTCAAATCGCTGTCTTTTTCAGCACCATGAACAGTGTATTTTTAAGACTCCGCAGTCTTGAGAAAGCTCACCCACCTTTTTTGAGGCTGCAGGCACATTTGAGCACCACACACAAAACAACACAACACAACACAACCTGTCCTCTTGGCTACAACAGAATGCTTGGTCATCCTCTTTTATTATCCTATTATCCTATTTTATTTTCACAATATTCCTATGAGGTGGGTTGTGCTGAGAGATAGCGACTTGCCCCCAGCTTCATAGCCATGTAGCAATTTGAACCCAGGTCACCGTGGGGCAAGGCCAACATCCTACCCACGTAAAAAAAACATAAGAAACGCCCTGAAGAATCAGACCAAATGCCAAGAGCCAGTGTGGTGTAGTGGTTAAGAGTGGTAGACTCGTAATCTGGGGAACCGGGTTCGCGTCCCCGCTCCTCCACATGCAGCTGCTGGGTGTCCTTGAGATAGTCACACTTCTCTGAAGTCTCTCAACCCCACTTACCCCACAGAGTGTTTGTTGTGGGGGAGGAAGGGAAAGAAGAATGTTAGCCACTTTGAGACTCCTTCGGGTAGTGATAAAGTGGGATATCAAATCCAAACTCTTCTTCTTCTTCTTCTCTCTAGTCTGGCATCCTGTTCCCCCAGGGACCCACCAGATGCCCATGGGAAGCCTGCCAGCAGGACCCGAGTTCAAGAGCTCTCTCCCCAGCAAGAGGGATGCCGAGGCATATTTCCTCCCAGAGTGGAAGCAGAGCACGATTGTTAGGCACCAATGCAAATATGACACACAATGAGAAAACTGATACCTGTTACCTAAATCCATATTCCAGAGATACATGGAGAAATCACAGCACTGTCTGTGTAAAAGAGAATTGAGCATCAGAAGGGTTTTGGTCACTGCTTTCTTTCCTGCTGCAATGCAGCTGTATCCGCAACCCTCACGTGCCCAGGGAAGCGGGCAGAGAAACAACAGCTTTGCATTTAATCCAGAATCACAAGATGCAGCAGTGAGTGGTCCAACTATCCTTGAGGTAAAAGAAAGAAATAAGAGACCTCTTCATCGAGGGCCACTGAAAGGTCCAGATGCACGTCTTACATCGGAGATGGGGGGTATACCAAAGAGTATAAATATGTGAAACAAACCCAAGGATGAAATTCCCATGGGGTGGCCATGTGGCCAGATTTACCAAAGACAGTCCTCTGTTTGAAGGACTTCCCAGTCCAAGGAACTGTAGAAGAGAAAGCAGGAGAGTACTGGATCGTTCCCAGCAGCAGTTTTCTAAAAAAATTGTTTCGTTTCAGTTATTTTAATACCCAGCACAGGGCCGTCTTACCCATATGCGCTAGGGGTGCGGGGCACCCGAGCGCTAGGCTTTCAGGGGCGCCAGGCCGAGAGTCTGGGGCCCGAGAGTTGAGTCCAGGGAAGAGCCGTCAGTCGGAGCTCCCAGTAGGCTCCTCTGCTGCGGGCAGCTGTGGTCCGCAAGTTTGGGGGCGACCAAGCCAGCAAGACGCTGAGGCAGCTGGCTGGCTCTGCCCTCCTGCGCACCTGGGACTGGGCAACCAGGGGGAAGGGCACCGGGTGGATCTTTGCACCCCGGCGCCGCATATGCTTAAGACAGCCCTGACCAGGCAGTACCTGGGTAGTTTGCAAGTGTGCAGCAGACTGAGCAGGTCACCTGGCCACAGCCTCCCCCTCCCTGCTATAGCAGGGTGGATTTCTATTAACATAATAGCCATTGTTTCTATATGTGCATCATTTCACATATAGCATTTGCACTTTTAATTTTTTTTTTCAAAATACCAATCAGTCAAAGTTACATCACCCTCATTCCCCCCCCATTTTCCCCCTCCCCCTCCCCAAAAAGAAAAAAAACCCCTCCCTCCCACCGCCCCCACCAGACTTCCCTCAGCTCCTCTCTCTGGTTTCTCAGCATGTTATAAAATTGTAAAGATCCTTAAGTTATCTATATATATGTTATCAATAAAAAGTTTGTGTATGTTTATTCAAAACCTGCCAAGGAGTCCAGTTCATTTTGTTGTTTCTTTAAGTACTTTGTGAAAGGTTCCCATTCTTCTTTAAAGTCACAGTCATCTTTGTCATGTAGTTGGTGTGTCAGTTTCGCCAGTTCTGCGTAGTCCATCAATTTCTCTTGCCACAGTTCTTTGGTTGGGATTTCCTCGTTCTTCCATCCTTGTGCTATTAAGACTCTTGCTGCCGTTGTCACATATCGTATTTTTTGCTCTATAAGACTCACTTTTTCCCTCCTAAAAAGTAAGGGGAAATGTGTGTGCGTCTTATGGAGCGAATGCAGGCTGCGCAGCTATCACAGAAGCCAGAACAGCAAGAGAGATTGCTGCTTTCACTGCGCAGCCATCCCTCTTGCTGTTCTGGCTTCTGAGATTCAGAATATGTTTTTTCTTGTTTTCCTCCTCCCAAAACTAGGTGCGTCTTGTGGTCTGGTGCGTCTTATAGAGCGAAAAATACGGTATATGAAAATGTTTTTCAATTTCTTTGTCAGGAGCATTTGCACTTTTAATGCAAATCTGCGTTATGGTTTGCACTTTTTATTTGGCAATATATTTCCTCCTCTTTTTTTTGAGGTACAGAAGTGGTTGCCTGCAGGCCTGTCAAAGGCTGTGGACCCAGACACCTTGACAGAAGCAGTCTATCTCTCTGCGGTGACATTTGTTTACTTCACACCATTCATAGGTTGCTTGCTCGGCAGAAAACCTCTTAAGTGGTTGGAAAATAACCATCTAGGATACTTGTCTAATATTTAATGTTCATTTTTAAAGTGCCAGTGGAAGCAAACATTAAGAACATGTTGCCATTTTTTTAAAAAAATAAACAATTAAATATAAATACCGGTAAACAAAAACAAAAAACAAAAACAGCCATTTAAGACCAATTATTCACAATCATCATCATCACGTTTAATTTGTATACTGTCTTTGTATCTTACAATACCCAAGGCAGTTTAAAAGCTGAAGAAACAAAGAATGTACACCTTATAACAATCTAATGCAATACAAAAACGTAATAATAAAACATAACTTTTAAAATAAGCAACCTACATCAAATAAAATAACATTCAACAATCATTGGAATAGTATAGAATAATAATATCAGCATATAAAAATTAAACAGAAATCCGCTCTTAACAATTACAATACATAATTTCTAAAGTACAATCAATAAAACAACGGCAAGCCACAGTGCATAAAATAATACAATACAAATTGAGAAGCAGAGACTTGAGGGTAGGGCAAGGCTGGTGGAAGAAGGCCTTGCCTGACGAAGTCTCTCCCCTCACAGGTCTTCCTCTAGGCACAGCTCCCTTATGGGTACTCAATAAAATTACATGTTAAAATGCATGTTTAGATCACATTTGCATGGACAAATTTGTGGAGGTTAAGGCAGCCAATGGCCACTAGCTATGTTGACTGTCCTCTGC